TCTGCACAGCAAGAGAAACCACCAGCAGTGTGAAGAGACAACCCACAATGTGGGAAAAAAATCTTCACCTGCTTTTCCTCAGACAAAGGTCTACTATCTCGAATCTATAAAGAACTTAAAAAGATCAGACCTCCCAAATTTAAAGACCCAATCTACAAATCTTTTTAATGTATGGCTAAGAAGACAGGCGGAGTCTCATACCTGTTTCTGTACTCTGTTGTAAAATATTATTTTTGTTAAGTATGTGAAAAAAATATAGACTCAAAGAGATATACAGCTGAAGAAAGGAGAAGCATTTTAATGCCTTTTAAGATAATTATAGATGCTGGGGATTTAGCTCAGTGGTTCCAGCGCCTGCCTCGAAAGCAGAAGGTCCTGAGTTCGATCCCCAGTACCAAAAAAAAAAAAAAAAAGATAATTATAGATGATTATTCTTTTTTTTTTTTTTTGGTACCAGCGATTGAACTCGGGACCTTGTGCTTTCGACGCCCGCGGTGAAACCACTGAGCAAAATCCCTGGCCTTAGATGATTATTCTTTGACATAACACCAAAACTCTACAATTGGCAGAACCTTAAAGGTTACTTGAAAAGTAGAATTCTAGGGCTGGGGATTTAGCTCAGTGGTACTACCGCCTGCCTTGTAAGTGCAAGGTTCCAAGTTTGATCCCCCGTACTAAAAAAAAAAAAAGCAGAATTCTAAACCATATAAACAAGGCTTTTGTGCTTATATATCAAAATCAAAGCAGGGCCGGGGATTTAGCTCAGTGGTACTACCGCCTGCCTTGTAAGTGCAAGGTTCCAAGTTTGATCCCCCGTACTAAAAAAAAAAAAAGCAGAATTCTAAACCATATAAACAAGGCTTTTGTGCTTATATATCAAAATCAAAGCAGGGCCGGGGATTTAGCTCAGTGGTTTCGCTGGCTGCTGTGCAAGTGCAAGGACCTGAGTTTGATCCCCAGTACCAAAACAAAACAAAACAAAAAACAAAAAAAACAAATCAACGAACAGAAAAAAGAACATCCATGGAGGCAGTAGGACATCTGAATGAAGTTCTGATAATTTCTCAGTTTTGATAAACATAGCATGCTAAAGAAACATTGAGAAAAGCTGGAATCATGAGCCGAAATCAATCTTTCCTCCTTTTAATTTGATTGTCTCAGTTATGCTGTCACAGTGAGAGAAAGCTGACCAGCACAGATGGTTGAGAGTTCAATGACTGCTGGTATGTTCTGGAGTATTTGGGTTTTCGTGCCAGGAGCCTTGCCCTCTGTTGCTCTCATACCTTCAGAACAAATGTGAATACTAAGCAAAAGGCAAATAGTTCCTCAGCATTACTGTAAAAATAGTTCTGGCTGGGCTGGGGATTTAGCTCAGTGGCTCTGTGGCTGCCTGGCAAGTGCAAGGTCCTGAGGAGTTCAGTTCCTAGTACCATAAAAAAAAAGTTCTGGCCTCCTGTACCTTCTGAAAAATATCTTAGGATCTCAGGGTCTACGGACCTCATGTTGAGCACTGCCTCTCTCTCTCTCTTTTTTTTTTTTTTTAAGTGGGGCTGGTGATTGTACCCAGGGCCTTATGCATGTTAGGCAAGCACTCTACCACTGGGCTATATCCCAGCCCTAAAGCTCCTTAAAGGTAAGGATTTTTGTCTGTTTTGTTCACTGCTGTATCCCCTGTGCCCACACCAATGTCTGACACATAACAGACACTCAATAAATATTTATTAAATGAAGGCAGGTGTAGAGACACGCCTATAATCCTAGCACCTGGGAGGCTAAGGCAGGAGGACTGCTGTAAGCTCCTCCTGAGCTTACAGGATTGTAAGCTACATGAGCTACATAAGTTCAAGGCCAGCCTGAATTACACAGTGAGACCCTGTTTCAAAAAAAAAAAAAAAGTATTGAATGAATAGTTAACTGCATAAGTGAATGTGATAATATCTGTAATTACTTTCAGCTGCTTGGAAGTAAAACAAAAATAATTCAGGATATTTGTAGTTTGGGTATAATTTATAATTTTACAGAATGCTAAATATTTAATCAGGAAATAAAAGAAATTATTTCTTTCAGAAAAAGCATTTAACTGCAGGAGTGGGAAAACCAGCAGGGAATATTGAAAACTATCCCAACAGTATGCATGGGAAAGCAATAGCCTTTAGTGAAGGAAACACTCCCTGAAAAGTAGAACACTGCCTGTGACCTAGAAATGGGGCAAAACCAGGAAAAGAGGACAAAATATAAAAACTGCTACTTCACATCATTTCCCACACTTGTTTTTCCAACCCACAGTGGCTGGGAACATTCACAGGGTTGGGAGAAATTATACACAAAATGAACAGGGAATCTGAATGTAAGGTGGAACATGCAAGAATTCATAAGTAATGAGAACACTTTGAGTTTTGAGGACTAAATTAAGATAATGTATTTACACCAAAAAGGACCAGAGGACCTCAATTTATGATTCACATACTATGAGTGTTATAGATATGGATTTTAATCAAGCCAATATTCAAACAATAAACTGCTGCATAAAGGTGAGGTAGCCAATAAGTATTCTGGTTAGTATGGAGTTATTGGTTTTTAGTGAATAAAATTCAGTAAACACACCATCCTTGGGCTGATGAATTGAGTCAGTATTTAAAACCTGCAGAGACACTTTGAAATCTCACTAAGTTCCAGGAAGTCATCATTAGGAAGGATTATCAGTTAAGGAAGGGTGGGGAATATAGTTTAATGGAACATAAATTATACACTCTTTGGTTTTAGTCCCAGCGCTGCCACACTTAGTAATCGGCTCGCAATAGGTAAATTCCTGAATGCTTCTGTCTGTTTGAGACAGGGTCTTGCTATGTAGTCCAGGCTAGTCTCAAACTTACGGAAATCCTCCTGCCTCAGCCTCCCAAGTGCTGGAATTACAGGCATGTGCCACCATGCCCAACTCTGAATGCTTCTATAGGTTACTTTTTCCCTTCTCCTTTTCTGAATTCAGGAATAATTAAGAATACAAACATCTGTGAAACATTTTGATTTTCTTGAAAATACTGAATCAAGTGTAAGAAGTTAAATGTGAGGATTACTCAGAAGTTAAAATATCCCAGTAAATTTTAACATTGCCAAGTCTAAAATAATGTTTCTTCCATCCTATGAAAAGCCTCCAAAGTGCTTCCTACAACTAAGATTGAAACTGACACTGGCCACTATAGTAACTGCTGAGCAATTTACAAAACACTTTAGCATCTATCTCACTACTCTTGTTATGGAGGCAAGGCAGGAAGGACCGCTTCTGTTCTTCTGACAAAGAAAGTAAAGTGTGAAGAAACTGAGTGCCATAACTAAGAGGCAGAACTGGGACTCGGCAGGTTTGGGAGAGCTCAGTCATTGGGTCCAAGACTGCTCCTTGCTTTATGAAGTGATGAGATCAAAGTGGTTCCTGGGGAAGTTCTAAAGCCCCAAGAGTAGGGAGATGGCTATCCAGCTTCCTGGACCTTGAATGCACTGCTCTGCTCACCTGCAGCTTCACAGCAATGACCACGGAGTTAAGATCTTTGTCCATTTCTTTTAGCATAATGAGCTTCTTCAGGGTCAAGCTGAACAGCCTAGAAAAATAAGAGAGAAAGAAGATCCTGTCAAATACAAGTAACTTGTGAGAAAGTGACAGTCTGCTGGGGAAACTTGTTCTGCCTGAAATAAGACTGGGAGAAAGCCATTCCCAGCCTATGGTCACCTCTTTCTGTAAAAGAATGTCCCCTTTAATTTTTATACTTGGTGAGTGTCAAAAAGGGATCTCATTCCGTGAATTCCTATGGATAGCCACTTATCACAGGCCAAAACCAACATACAAAGCTGGGCATGGGGAGGCTGAGGCAGGAGGACTGACAGTTTGAGGCCAGCCTGGGCTACATAATGAGTTCAAGGCTGGCTTGGGCTATATAGTAAGATCCCTGTCTCAAAAACAAAGCCCAAAACCAATGCATATTTTCACTCCTAAAATGAGGGCAGTTTCTGGGGAGTATGAGACCAAGAAAGGGATCAACATGGTTATTTGCTGAACTAGTTCTTCCTCTATCTGCCACCTATGTACACCTGAGACATTAACACATATAAATTTTACCACCATGGAGAAAATCCACTCACTAAAAAGACATTATTTGGCAGGACATCATTAAAATGGTTATGAATTTGACTTCAGTTGAATTTTGCTCCAGAAAACCTTCAGTGAGACAAATCAAGAAACTGCCCTTAACTCAAAGTGACAGGGCTATCCTCCCTTTGGAGTCTCAGAGATGCCCATCAGTCTTGGCTGTGGCCAGCCTGTGGCAGAGTTGCCCTGGCTGCCTATAGAAGCTGAGAGGCCCACCCTGGGCTCTGCCTTCCCACTGGTTTGGGTGGTTAAGATTTCGCAAAATCTTCTCCTTTGTGAGGTTCTGGAGATTGGAAGACACCTGAGGGATGACCAGTCATGACAAGGACCGAAAATCAGATGCTTTATGTTTATTTGTTCTCCAGCAATGTGGCTTTCTTGGTTCCATCTGATCTGTGTCCATCCACATTCTTGAAGCTCAGCCACACTGAAGGCACCAAACTCCTTACTGACATCTAGACAGTGTTGTCTCTTCTGTGAGCCAATAGTTCTACTGCTGTCAGCCAACTAGCTAACACCTCAGCTAGTGTCAGAGTTCCTTCATGGGGCTACTGGAAAGGCCCCTCATGTGCCTTTAGCCAGAGCCACCTGGGTTCATGTTCTTACTTGCCAAATCTGCTCCATCTGTTTGTAGCACTGCAGCTCTCTCTCTTCCCTTTAAGCAGAGATGTGTTGTGCCCCCAGAACTCTAGCTCTGCTAACACCAACAAGATCATTACAGTTCACAGGTGGTGAGTAAGAAACATCCAGTGGTACCCTGGTATTCGTTAACTGGTTCTAGCTGGGGATGGTGGCAGAATCCTATAATTCCAGCACTCTGGGAGGCTGAGGCAGAAGGATTATGAGTTTGAGTGCAGGCTGGGTGACTTAATGACTGGGGATGTAGCTCAGTGCCTCAGTGTGAAGGTCCTGGGTTCAATCTCCAGTATGGAGGGGGCACAGAGAGAGAGAGAGAGACAAGACAGAGAGAGACTCTCATTATGGACTTCACATTCTAGTGAAAAGAGAGTCAATAATCACTTGGCATAACAAGTAAATTATATAGCACGTTAGACTGTGCAAAAACAGAAGCAGGAAAGGGGGTTGTGAATATGAGGCCCATGCAGTGCAGAAAGTTGTGGGAGGGCTTCCTGAAGAACTCTAGGTGGAGGTGGAGGTAAGAGAGCACAAAGCACAGAGCCATGCCACCCACCAGGGCTTTGTTAGTCAGAGTGACAATCTGACTTTTAATCTGCAATAGATGGGGAGTCACTGGCTTTAAATGAGACAACTGATGTGTTTTACATTAATTGGATCACTCCAACTGTGCTGTTGGGATAGCATGGGAAGCAAAGTGGATTGGGAAAAGTTGAGAATTAGATGCAACTGTAGTAATTCAGGCAACAGACTGCAGAGGTTTAGGAAGTGGCAGTGGAGATATGAAAGATAAATTCTGGGTATACTGTGAAGATACAAGTTAACTCCTGGATTTCGGTCTGCACATCTGGAAAGAGATCACCATTTGGTGAGACTGGGAAGACTCAGGATAGAGCAGGGTTGGGAAATGTAGGATCAACAGTTCGGGTTTGGATATTTTAGATATGAGTGGAGCTGTTGAGTAGAGAGCTAGATATATAGACCTGTTTCTGGGTAGAGATGTCAATGTAGAAATGGGGCATAAAGATGGGATTTAAAGCCAAGAAACTGGATGAGATCAATCAGAGAGTGAGCCCACAAGGAGAAGAGAACCAAGGATTGAGCCCAGGACACCTCAGGAGGGGAAGAGAGTGATGCCACAGAGGAGACCAAACACTTGAGAGGCTGAGTGAGGCAGAAGAATCACTGTGAGTTTGAGGGCAGCCTGGGTTACATATAGTGAATTCAAGGCCATTCTGAACTCCATAGTGAGAGCTTGTCTCAAAAAAATAAAATAAAAAGAGGACAGGGATTTAGCTCAGTGGTTCCAGCGCCTGCCTTGCCAAGCGCAAGGTCCCAAGTT